TCCCATGCATCCTAAACCTCTCGCAGAAAGCGGGGAGGTAAGCCGAAGGGCTCGTGCTGCTCTGTGCATGCGATGGCTCTGCAGTATCCCACCCACCTCCCGACGTCTGTTCTGGTTTCCCTTCTCACTCCCCCCTGTTGCTATTTATCCCAAATGCCATTTTTATCCCTCTTCATGCTCTGACTATGCATTCGAGCTGCTGGGCAAGACGCTGGTAATTTCCATACAGCTTCTAACATAAAAAGAAACATTTGAAAGCTTCCAGAAACGCATCAGACCTCCAGCGTCCCCCCTGGCACGGCCTGCTGCTAAGTTGGGGGGGAATAAAAATCTTTCTAACGTGGTCGTTTTGAGAGGGGAAAATGCTGGAAATTAATTAAGTGAGGATTTTTTTTAGGCAGTGCAGAACATCCTCATGGTTCGGTGTTGCTCTCAAGCCTGGTGCCGTAGGGTGGAATGGGGTGCCGTAGGGTGGAATGGGGTGCCGTAGGGTGGAATGGGGTGCCATAGTGTGAATTGAGCTTTTTGCCCCCGGTATTTCAGTGCCTGGCTTTCCGTTGGCTGCGTATTCATTACTTTTAAGAAACGCCAGGCATTCCCTGCTCCTCGCTTCCGCCTTGCAGCTCAGACCCAACGCCTCTGAAGAGGGACGCCTGTGAGTACTCCGCCTTTTGCAAAGCTTTTCCCAGCAGATCCTTTTCTTTTTCCCCTCCCCACTGTAATTTTTGTCTGTACAGCCGGACCCGCTCTCCATGGGGGCATCCAGCCCCGCAGTTCGCTCCTCCGCAGAACCGAGCAGCACGCGTTCCTCTTTCAAACGCGGGCGTCCGTCCTCGTTAGCCTTGCCGTTCACGGATGCAGAGCCGAAAGCTCCAGACAGATTCTTTTTTTTTTTTTTTTTTTTTTTTTTCCCCCTCTTTCTAAGGGCTCATCACCCATCAGTTCCCATTATGCTCAAGGCTGGAGCTCTTTGGAAAATACAGCACATGTTCGGCTGCCTAAATGGGCCTTTGTGAAAACCCGTGCTCGGCCTCTCCCGGCGCGGGCTGGGCTATCAGGGACGTTTTGGGAGCGAAGCTGCTGCCGGCAGCCCCCCCTCCCCGCCGCACTCTTCCCCATCTCTGAAGCTGTTCCAGCTGGCAAGCGGGGTGCCCCTGCCGAAGCACAGCACCCGGTAAATATTGCCAGCTAGCACTTGGCTTCGGGGGAAAAAGCAAAATGAGATTAATTGAGGTGGCTAGAGGGCTTATGTGCCATTCCCAGGGAAACACAGGCTGGGTGGGAAAAGGAATCGGAGCTGTACGGTGACAGGGGATGGGAAGGCGAAGCTTGCGTTTCATGGAAGTGAAAAGAAAAAAAAAAAAAAAGAGATGTGGGTGAATTTGGAGCTGCCTCCGCAAAGGCGTTGCATTACAGGGCTGGGAGATGCCTCACCTGCACCCCAGCTCCGGTAACGCTGCCCCGGGAATTCGATCGGCCCTCGGAGCTCCACGGGGCGTTGGGAGTTCAAGGGAGGAGCTGGGCTGTAGTGGAGCAACCGGTGTGCCGCTGGCTTGGGTGTCCTGTCCTGTCTTGTCTTTCCTCTTCCTTGGCACGCTCCGGCTCTAGGAAGCGGGATTTGGTAGCAAGGGCTGAGGGCTGCGGTTCGCAGGACGCTGGCAGGGTTTTCCCCTGGGATCTGGGAAGCACGAGTAAGGAAAAGCAAGACTCTCGTAAGGAGGATTTAATTTTGGACGCAGACCCCACGAATCGTGGGTTGGGAAATCACTGCCCGGAGCGTGGGTTTTGGGAGCGCTCTGTCTCCAGCTGCCCTGCAGTGGGGATGGGCTGGGGAAGGAGGATCTGGGGGTGCTTTTTGGTTTTGGCAACTTTGTGTGGGAAACTGAAGCGGATCCACGGCTCTGGGACGAAACGAAGGCTCTCACAGAGAAAACTCTTCCTAAAAGAACTCTTCCCTGCTGCTCCTAAAAGCTCCAGGTGCCCCCGCCGTTCCCTGCGGGCAGCTTTGCTGTTCCCCGGTGCCGAAGCCAGGATCACCGTGGGGTCCTGCAGCTGGATGTGGCCCTGTCTCAGGTGAAGGATGGCGAGGATGCTCTCCTCGTTTCTGCTGGTGGATAAATAGCTGGCAAACGAGTGTTGCTGTGCTGATAGTCGTGAGGATGAGCCCTTCCCTTTCCCTGCCGGTGCAAGCCCTGGCTGATATTCCCTGTGTCCACGGGGGGCAAGGGAGCGCTGGGGAGATGGGAATTCTTCTCCTTTGGCTGGTTTGCAGGAGGTGAGGAGGCTGGATAATGGCTTCTCCCCACCCTTTCCACAGATCTTGCACTTCTGCAGCACCAATCGAGCACAGGCTGAAGAGCTTGGAGGAGCCACGGGAGGTTTTTCCCCCTCCTTACGGATAGGGAGGTGCTGGGGGGTGTCCGTAGGGTCCTGAGTTCAGGGCACTGCTGTAAGGTGGACCCGGAGGGGCCTCTCCCTGCCCCACGCTCGGCTGTGCACGCCTCTGCCCAGCCTGGCTGCTTGTCGTCTTCTCCCTACAGCAGATCCTGCTTTGGTGGCCCCAGCAGCATATTCCAGAGCAGGGAAACCTCTGGATTTATCCAGTTCCCTCTCTCCCATCCTTAAAAGCTTTGCAGCCGCAGAGCAAACCCATCCACCTCCATCCTGCTTTACTGGTGACCAGTGCCTTACTACTGGTCCGGCTTGGAGGGAGCCAGCAGTGGGCAAAGCACACGTTTGAGCCTCTTGGATTGGGATTTTGTGGCCTTGGGAGGAGCTGCTTTTTATCCAGGTGATGTGCCAGGGAAAGCAGCCCCGGGGCTGTGCGTTCCCTTCCCTGCAGCCCAAACCGCTCGTTTGGTGACGGCGCTCGGTGGGAGGACAGGGCAGGCGGTGGCGGTGAGCGGTAGCCGAGGAGCCTGGCTGATGTGTGGAGACCCTGCCTGTGAAAACAGCTTGGGGTGGGGGGAAGGTAAAAAAAATCTTTATGCTGTAACTCTGATAATTGCAGAGCATCTCTAAGTTCCCTGCAAGAGCCGTCTCTCCCGCCGTGCGCGCGGCAGCAAATCCAGCTCCCCGTCGGAGCCGCGTTACCAGCAGCTCACCGGCTTTCCGCCACCAGTTTAATTGAGGTGCCTTGCTTTCCATCACCGGGGCTGGGAACCGGCCTCGTCCCCGTGCTTTGCAGCAGGCTTGTCAATGGCTCTTCTTTTTTTTTTTTTTTTTAATGTCATTATCTGGCCAGGCTTGAGGATGTCGCTGCGTTGGGTTTTTTGATTTATTTTTCTTCGGCGCACCGCTAACCTCGCGTGATCTTGATAAGGGTGTTTTTCTGTTCCACCATTGCCAGCTGAGGTTAATAACATCTGCTGTAATCACTGGGCTTTGAAATCCTCGCAATGCAACCGAAACGCTGGTCTTCGAGTGCCTGTACAGGGAGGTGCAGCTCAGGAATCCACGTCGGGCCCCTGGCGCGTCACCTTGGGAGCTCCGGCTTTTTTCTGGAATGGCAAGCGAAGTGCTTGGTGGCTCAAACCAAATTTCCTCTGTCTTTACAGGAGTACACTTGCCCGAGATGCGAATCTGGCTTTATCGAAGAAGTCACAGATGATTCCAGGTAACGTATGCGTCGACGCGCCGCGTGTTTTGCCACACGCTTGCATTTCGTCCGGGTTTATGAGATGCCTGGTCTAAAAACTGTGGACAATGAGAACAAAATACGGGATGCAAAAGAAAAGCTGGTAATTAGTGTGCATTTGGGCTTAATTCTGGGTGGGACTGAAAATCCAGGTGGCCAATCAGCCTCGTGCTAGAGCCACGTGGAGGGATTTGGGGAGGAATTCCGAGAAGACGGGAGCTGTGAATTAAGGCTGTACACGCTTACAGGTTTTTGATGCCTGTTTCTTTGGTCTATTAGAGCAAAAACCATTTTTTTTTTTTTTTTTACACATCAAGCTCAAATCTCAGCGGCTCACAGTACCTTTCTTTTTCCCTCTGTTGGCCCCAGCTCAGTCTCCTGACCACCTCTGCAATCCCACAGCTCGGGCCAAGAGGGAAAGAAATCCCTTCCCTCTCGGATTCGGTCGTTGGTCGCCCAGCAGAACGCGCTGCCTGCGTGTTAGGGATCCAAACCACTGCCCCTTCAGCGCTTGCTGTATTCGGGCTTGAGCGATTGCTGAGAAAACAGCTTTATTCGGGTCGGGGGTGGGCGAGACAAAGGGCAGCACTGGTTACCTGAACCTTTGCTTTCTGAGACTCGCCACAGCAGGCATCTGGGGCCGGGTGTCAGCAGGGAGATGACTTAATCATAGAATCACTGAACCGTTTGGGTTGGAAAAGCCCTTTAAGCTCCCCCAGCCCAGCTGCCCCCCTACCCCTGCCATCCCACCCCCAAACCCCATCCCTCAGCACCACCCCTGCCAGGCTGTTAAATCCCCCCAGGGCTGGGGACTCGACCCCTTCCCTGGGCAGCCCCTTCCAGTGCCTGACAGCC